AGATCACAATAGTTTGTTGCATTTGAGTTCAACAGTGCCACATGTAGAAACAGTTTCTAGTATTGCAAAGGTAAATTGTTTTGTTAATAACAGCAACACAGTATTGTTACCAACTGTGAGGGTCAAAATTAAGCAAAACAACGGAAATTTTATGATAGTGCGGGGATTGCTAGACACTGGGTCACAAACAAGCTTTATTACATCTGACTTAGTTAGAAAGTTAAAATTAATTACATATGATAATAATTTACATGTCATTGGTATTTCAAATAATTTTACGAATGTAAACAAGGCAGTAAATATTACAATCAGTTCTTGCATATATAATTTTAAGTTAGAAATAAAGTGTGCAGTTGTAGATATCATTACTACTCCGTTACCTCAGACAACTTTTGATCTAAATAATGTTAATATACCTTCTGGGATTCAATTTTCAGATAAAACATTTAATAAGACCCAAAACATAGAACTTTTGTTAAGTTCTGAGGTGTTCTTTCAAATATTATTAACTGGTACAATTAAATTGGGAAAAAATAATTTGGTATTACAAAATACATTTTTTGGATACATTGTAAGTGGTGTGGTTCCTTCTGAGATACAAGATAATAGTTGCAACATGGTTGTTTCTTTAATTTCATTAAAAAATTTAATTTTAAATTTCTGGGCTACTGAGAAGGTACCTGAAGTTTATACAGAATATAGTAATGAACATGCCGCCTGTGAAAAAGTGTTTAATGAATCAGTAGAATTAAAAAACAATGTTTACCAGGTCAAACTGCCATTAAAGCTAAGTCCTGATAAAATAGTATTAGGTGATTCTTTTTCAGTGGCTGTCAAACGTTTTGAAAATTTAGAAAACAGATTTTTAAGAAATCCTGCATTATTTGAAAGATATAAAGAATTTATTCATGAATATATTCAATTAAAGCATGCGAGGATTGTTGACATAGATAATTATCAGCAATTAAATGCAGTATATTTCTTAGCACATCATGCTGTAATTAGGGAAGATAAAAAAACGACAAAACTTCGTGTTGTTTTCGATGGAAGCATGAAATCAAAGGCTGGACATTCATTGAATGATTTTTTATTTAATGGACCAGTTGTTCAAAATGAACTATTTGAGGTTTTGCTTTTATTTAGAACTTATAAAATTGTTTTAATGACTGATATTAAACAGATGTATCGAATGATACTCATTCATCCTGAGCATAGACATTTTCAAAATATCTTGTGGAGGGACAATATTGATCAAGCTTTACAATGTTTACAACTTCAAACCGTAACATATGGCCTAAGAAGTTCACCCTATCTGGCTACTAGATGTCTAACACATTTAGCAAAAACATTCGAAAAAGATTATCCTTTAGCCAGTCATGCTCTATTGCATAATACTTATATTGATGACGTTATTGCTGGTGGTAATGATTTTATTGAAGCCAATAAATTAAAAAACGAATTAATCAGCTTATTAAAGCTGGGGTCCTTCGAACTGCACAAATGGTGTTCAAATGATTTAAATTTACTTTCAGACATTTCCAAAGAAATCCAGCATTTTGATGACATAGATATAAATAAAGGCGATTCAATTATTAAAACACTAGGGTTATCATATAATCCAAGCTCAGATATGTTTAAATTTGTTCCCCCTAAGTTAGATATTCAGAATTGTAGGACAAAAAGACAAGTTTTAAGTTTTGTTTGTAAATTCTTTGATCCCTTAGGACTAATTGGTCCTATTTTAGTATATGCTAAGGTAATAATTCAAGATATCTGGAAGACTAAGATCCAATGGGATGAAACGTTACCAGATCATTTATTGTCTAAGTGGACCAAATTTGCAATAAACTTGACGAATATGTCAATTTTACCTATTCCACGCAATTTACAATGTATTGGAGCTATTAAAATAGACCTTATAGGTTTTTGTGATGCATCATTAATGGCTCATGGAGCAGCATTGTACCTACGTTCCACATTTGATCAAAATATTTCTGTTAATTTAATTTGCTCCAAATCTAGAATAAACCCTCTAAATAATAAATTAACAATACCCAGACTAGAGCTCAATAGTGCTCTTCTGCTAGCAAATTTAGCAGAAAAGGTATATCTGCAATTAAAAGACAAAATAAGCAATACCATATTGTTTTCAGATTCGAATGTAGTTTTAGCTTGGATCAAAACAGATCCTCTTGTTCTCAACCCTTATGTTGCTAACAGAATCTTAAAAATTCAAAAATCTACATCGAGTTTTATTTGGCAATATGTTCATACGAAGCAAAATCCTGCAGATTTTTTATCGAGAGGCATGGAACCTCAAGAAATTCATACCAATATCACATGGTTTAAGGGCCCAGCCTTTTTATCAAATCCAAATTTTTGTATTTCAGAAAAAGAAATTGAAATACCAATTCCTTTACCCGAACAAAAAAGAGTTTGTAATGTTCAGATTAACAAGTTACACTCAGATTTTTTCAAAAACTATTCTAGCATGAGCAAATTGCAAAGGATAGTTGCATATATTTTTAGATTTTATGATAATTTAAAGAAAAAAGTAAATAAAGAACCTATTAGTTTAGGTTCATTAACTAATCAAGAATTGGATAGGTCACTGTTAAATATTATTAAACATGAACAATTCAATGAATTCTATCAAGAAATTAAGTGTCTAAAGGAAAAATTAAATATCAAATCCAATTTAAAAAATTTAACGCCATTTTTAGATAATAATGGCATCTTGCGTGTAGGTGGGAGGCTGCAAAATTCTCATGTGTTATATAGCCAAAAGCATCCCATCATTTTACCAAAAAGCAATTATATAACTGATTTAATAATAATTAGAGAACATTTAAAATTGCTTCATGCAGGACAAAAACAAGTAATTTCTAGCTTAAATTTAAAATTTTGGATTATCAATGGGACCAGAGAAGTTAAAAAAATAATACACAAATGTGTTATTTGTTTTAGAGCAAAAGCTAAATGTTCAGATCAGCTTATGGGTTCATTACCAGAGAAAAGAGTTATAGCTGCAAAACCATTTTTACATGTAGGTATTGATTTTTGTGGACCTTTTCTGATCAAACAATCAAGGCTAAGAAAAACATTAGTTACAAAAGCTTATATAGCATTGTTTGTGTGCTTTGCGACTAAGGCTATTCATTTAGAGTTACTTTCAGACTTGACAACTGATACGTTTTTAGCTTCATTTAAAAGATTTATTTACAGAAGGGGAAAGCCCACACAAGTATATTGTGATAATGGTTCAACATTTAAAGGTGCCAGAAATGTTTTAAATGACTTATATAAGCTTCATCAAAGCAAAGAACATAAAGATAAAATTCAGAATTTTTGTTATGAAGAACACATTACGTTTCATTTTATACCGAGTTATTCTCCAGTGTTTGGTGGTCTCTGGGAAGCTGGTGTAAAAAGCACCAAGCATCATTTAAAAAGAACAATGGGAATACATCAATTAACATATGAACAATTAAATACCCTAATAATTCAAATTGAGGGAATATTAAATTCAAGGCCTATCACGGCAATTAGTGCAGATCCTTCAGATCTTTCATATCTTACTCCAGGACATTTTTTAACTGGAGGAATCATAACTAGTTTTCCTGAAGAAGACATCTCAGAGGTACCCACAAACAGAGTAAAATTTTGGCAACTTTGCACCCACATGCAACAAATTTTTTGGAAAAAGTGGCATATAGATTACTTAGCATTACTTCAAAGCAGACCCAAATGGCAAAATAATAAGCCTAATGTAGAAGTGGGAATGCTAGTTATTCTAAAGGAGGAAAATACTCCTTCGTTAAAGTGGCCAATGGCCAGAATTACTAAAGTTATTTCTGGTAAGGATGGAAAAATCAGGGTAGTAGAGGTTAAAACAAAAGATGGAATTTATTTAAGATCAATTACAAAAATAGCGGTATTGCCCATTTGCTAAATACAATGTTTTAGCTTTACAATTAAAAAAAAAAACAAATATGTATTTTTACTTTGTTAATAACAATTTTTGTTAAGAATTTTCACTTTCTGATGGTCTCTATAAGACCAAATTTTTATTTGTAATGGTCTCTATAAGACCAAATTTTTATTTGTAATGGTCTCTATAAGACCAAATTTTCATTTGTAATGGTCTCTATAAGACCAAATTTTCATTTGTAATGGTCTCTATAAGACCAAATTTTCATTTGTAATGGTCTCCATAAGACCAAATTTTCATTTGTAATGGTCTCTATAAGACCAACTTTTCATTCGTAATGGTCTCTAAAAGATCACTTTTTTTTTTTGGTAAGGTCTCTATAAGACCAACTCCTCATTTGTAGCTAGTCTCTAATGACTAAATATTACTGTTATAAAATAATTAATATTTTCTACTTTTAACAATATTACGTTACTTTTTTGCATATACTCTGTAAATAGTGTATAGGTGTGTAAGTTGAGTTTATTTCTGGTGCACCGGACAGTTTTCTAATTAATTTAATTTGAAAAATATTTCTTTTTATACTAATTTTAGTGTACAACTCATCAATTTGTACCTATAATATTAATATATTTTTTTTGTTGTGCTTCCCCAGCATGTTGGAAACTATCCAACACAATGCAAATCTAGGGAATTATATAATTTACCATTGGCAATTAGAACTAGTGATAGTTAGACTAGTAACTAGTCACATATTTCCACTTAGTGACGTTATTCATATTTTCCGCCATGTTCAACTACATCAAGTAACAAAAAAGGAGGCAGGTAGAATTGTCATGATGTTATGTCATTAATTTTATATATCTGAAAGCTTTGTAAATTAGAATTGCTATTTGTAAATAAACCATTAAAAATTCAAACCATTTTCTTTATGTAGTTATCTACAGTTATATGTATCATTGCTCAGCCGTAACGTCCTCAAGTTGTTTCTTTAAGTGCCAGGGGCGGACTACGTTCTGTGTTTTAAGTCAAATATATGTTGAATATTTATTTAACAGAAGCTACTTACCTTCGTTAAAACATCCTTTATGTATTCAGGATCTGTTACCATTAAAACGGGATTGGCTACAGTCCAAATTCCTCCAAATTTCCAATTTCTCTTTCTAATTTCTGAATACAATTCAATTAATTCCAAATCGTATCCTCTAGCTTTAGATAATATGTAACGTAAGTTTCCATAAGGAAACTTGGGTTCTAAATGCGGTACATTTTTCCTCGTCCAATATTTGTAGGAGTACCAAAAATAACAATAAACTGATACTATTATTATAGTTATTGGGTAGATTATAAAGTTGAGTATTATGGACATTTTGGATATTTCTAAAACAAAAACAAAATATGTAGGTATAGGGCATGTGTTAAAATCCACTGTATCAACAGTTGTTTACAGTTACTCTAAAGATAATATTCTTCATAATGTCAGGGGCACAATTCTGGAATATATTGTTGCGACGCGAATGGTCAAATTCTTGCAAGAGTTGCTATTCACCGGTTGTTTTGGGCGCCTTTGTTAAAAAAAAAAAGAAAAAGGTTAATTAAAATTAAATCATTAATTTTTAATTTTTTTTCTTCTTTTTAATGAAATTGAATTATTAAAATATGTTTATTTCATAAAACCATTCATCATCCACAATAATTATTAATTGTCTTAGGGATAGGTCCGACTCTGTGGTTGCAGAGATTCGTTTGTTTCACGCCAGAGGGCGATGTAATACGAGCCCTTCAATGATTATCAATAAATCACCTGTTGTTTATAGTTTATGCCTATGCAGTGTCTAACCAAAAGAAAAGCGAAAAATAAGTGTAAACAAAGAACATTTATTTATTAAATACAAAACGCAACTGGCAAAATTCTGACGAAATACAAGGAACCATTAGATATTAAAGTGTATCTGTAATTATAAATTCTTCTTCTTCTTCTGTTCCTTTTATGGGCAATGTCTTTCGGGACAATTCACCCAGCTTTGTAAGTACAGGGAAAGCTAAGGTCTTGCTCTCAGCAATTAGCAATCCCAATTTTCTTTTTTCAAATATATGACTATTTTCAGTTGTGTTGGTTTTCGGTACTTAGGAGGGTTTAGGAGTTAGTTTTTGACAGTACAACGGAGGAAATTAACTTTTCTCGCTTGGGGGTAGCCACCAAGCATTACACACACCAGAAATGCTACCATAGGAGGATAGTTAGAGAACCCAGGACTGAAAAGAATGGGATTGTATAGTTATATTAATTTTACAAATTGAGTTGGAATATGTTTAAAAATTGAGTTAGAATTTTAAGTCTTAATTCATTAAGCTTCAGTGATAATTGGGTTGTTATCCCGGGACAATTGTTTTATTATGAATTTTGATCCTAACCACTCCCTTCTATACTCCAAGGGCATCTCTCCAGTTTCTGCAAGTAGGGCATCTGTGGGGGTCGACTTCATACATCCAGTGATGATTCTTAAACCTTGATTTTGTAATTTGTCTAATCGGTTGAGTACATGTTTGGAGCTTGGAATTATTACTTGGCTTCCGTAATCAATGTGACTTCTGACTATTGCTTTATATAGAGAATTCAGTGTTTTCGGATCACTTCCCCACCAAGTCCCACAAAGAGCGCGCATGACATTCAAGCTGCGATTAGCTTTAATTTCAACATTATCTATTTGACAATTCCATTTTAAATTTTTATGTATTACTAACCCTAAATATTTTGTCTTATCAACCCAGCGGAGTAAGTTAGATTTAAAATATACATATATTTGGGGGGTAGTTCTCAATGGAAAATAAGATACAACATGATTTATTTACTGATAGTTTGAAGTTATGGTTATCTAACCATGATTCTACATTTGGTAGAAAATTATTTATGGTATTTACCATTGAATGAATATCTTCCCCACTACTGATTATTGCAAAGTCATCTGCATATTGTATGATTTGAATTTTTTTTGGGAGAGTTTCATATAATGATAATGTGTACAAGTTAAATAGTATAGGGCTCAAGGGAGAGCCTTGTGGTAAACCTATACTTGTTAAATGGGGGCCATGAATTAAACCAGTATTGTCCTTGCTGTATAGTTTTCTTTGGTTTAGGCAGGCGTATATTGCATTCGTTAAATCTATTGGGATGTTTAAGTTTAGCATTATATCATATAGTTTATAGATGTTCACAGAGTCGTAAGCTGCTGAAATGTCTAAGAATAGACCTACAGTGTATTTATTAAGGGAGTAACCCATTTGTATTTTTGTTATGAGATATGATATGCAATCCATGCACCCTCGGCCTCTTCTGAAGCCAAGTTGCATTGGATTAAGGATATTTTTGTTTTCCAGGTGCCATTCTAATCAGTTCTTTAATATCGATTCGAAAGTTTTCCCAACACATGAAGAGAGGGCAATGGGTCTGTAATTACTTACTACCAATTTGTCTTTATTAAGTTTAATTATAGGTAAGTTTAGTGTATCTTTCCATTGTTGGGGAATTTCTCCTGATTCTAGACATTTGTTAAAGATATTTAATAAAATTTGAGTGCCTAATATCGGTAGGTTTTGAAGGAGCGCGTATGGAATTTGATCCAACCCTGGGGCTGAATTCTTTTTGGTACTTATGATACTTTTGTATTCATCAAGAGACACGGGATCTGTTATTTCTGTATTACTTCTCTTTTGGGGGGTCTGTGAAAATAGGTGGGGATAGGTTACTCAGGATGTCTTTCACCATGTTTTGTGGTGGCATTAAATTGTTGAGACTTGTTTTTGAGCCAGAGAGCATATTTATTTTACTCCAAATTATTTTGAGATTACGGTTCAATTTGTGACAGAACTCCTTAAAATTTTGTTTTCTTTTATTTTTTAGAAATTTTCTAGATAATGCTATATTATGTTTGACGGTTATGTAGTTTTCTAGATTTCGGTTAGATAGAAGTTTTTTAATTGAATTTACTCTGTTTGTCACTATATTCTCGCAAGTTTCATCCCACCAGGGGATGTGATACTTAGGGTTTTTTTATTATTAGTTAATGGAACTGTTTCCTTAATGGCATTATTAATTTCATCTATGAATGTGTCATAGTTTTCACAAGGAAAGGTTGATAATGATTTTTGTAATTTATAATTAAACAAGGGCCAGTTTGCTTTGTAGAAGTTCCTTTTATTTATGGTGTTATCATTTGGGTTGATATTTAGCCCGATGGTACACTGGGTGGCATAATGGTCACTAGATCCCATATCCTGTATTATCTTCCATGTAGATTTAGCAGCGATGTTCATGGATATTAATGATATGTCAACTACTGACTTACTTCCTCCTGGGGGAGAGATACGTGTAGGGGAGCCATCATTAAGGAAAACTAGTTCTAATTGATCTAGTGTATCTATTATGTTTTGACCATTACGACTGTTGTTGGAACTACCCCAGGCTTTGTGAATTGGCATTCATGTCCCCCATTATTAACAAGGGTTTGTTAAGTGATTGTATAAGATTTATCCAGCCCTGTTTTGGTAATATATCGTTAGACGGACTATAGATATTTAATATGTTTAAATTATATTGAGGCAGAAATACAGATTGCATCTGTACTTCTGCTTGGAATTGATTATTTATTGATAAAATTTGAAAGGATATATTATTTTTAACTAGTATGGCAATGCCACCATAGCCATCTGCTCTATCTTCCCTAATTATTTGATAGCCCTTGCATCTAACATTGTATTTTTTTTCTAACCATGTTTCATTTAGGAGAATAACATCTGGGCAATAGTTCTTAATAATTATTTTTAAATTGTCCACATTAACATTATATGATCTTAAGTTCCATTGTATTACGGTTAGTGGTTGAATTTTGATGTGAGCAAGTAAAATCAATTTTCATCAGGAAACCAGTTCTCCGACTCATCGGAGCACTCCATTTCCTGCGAATTATTGAATATATCTGGTGATAAATTATTTTTGTGGGTTGACTGTATCTCTATTGTTTGAAGAACATTGTCGCGAGGAATAGTATAAGTAGTGTTTATTAAGTTACCTATGAATGTCAGAACTAACTCTTTGTGGGCTTCGGAGAGGATTGAAAAGGCTTGAGTCATGTCGATTTCCGTGTTGTTTGTTTGATCTTGTCTGGACAGTAGATGGGATTAGCCAGTTCTGGACCAAGGTCAGAGGCAAGGTCAGAGGCAATTGGTGTAATTAGTAATTACCCTAAGTACCCACCCCCCACCCTTCGAGCAAGTACCCCCCACCCTTCGAGCAAGTACCCCCCACCCTTCGAGCAATTAGCAAGTACCCCCCACCCTTCGCGCAATTAGCAAGTACCCCCCACCCTTCGCGCAATTAGCAAGTACCTCTGAATTACTCTGTACACCATGTTATTGCATAGTGTAATGAGTGTAATTGCATAGTGTAATGAGTATAGTAAGTACCTCTCAGTACACATAGTGATGTAAGGACCAACCAATTATTCTGTACTGAGTGTAATTGCATAGTGTAATGAGCATAGTAAGTACCTCTCATTACACCATATGCATACCTCTCAGACAGTATTTACTGTGTATATCACGTAGTGTAATAAGTCTAAGTACTTCTCTTGTTTACTGTTGTAGCATAGGGGAAATAAGTCGGCGCCATGCACACCCTTGACTCTCAACCGCCATAGCTAAAGTGAATCACCGGTCTTCAGCAGACACGCGCGATGTAAATATTGTTGGAAGGGGTAGTATCCCACCCTTCGCGCAATTAGCAAGTGCCTCCCAATTATTCTGTAAATTATATACTTTAATGAACGTAATTGAGTAGTGTAATGAGCATAGTAAGTACATCTCATTACTCTATACACCTTGTAAGTACCGCTTAAATAGTCATTACTATTTACCTCCTAGTGATTACTATTGTATTCTATATTACATACTATGAATATTGAGAAGGAAAACATAGTGGAGGTGGGGATTTTTAGGGAGGATATATAGCGACCTCATATCCAAATGGAATCAGTTTAAATCGTAAGCTTTAAGAGTCTTTAGAAGTTTCAAATAATAACTGAGTGTAGTATTGTGTAGTATTGTGTATTATACAGGTAAAAAAATATTTATTTGTATTCTACTATGGCTCAAACGCAAATTGATGCGGTTAATAAATTACTTGGAGACTGGCCCACAATATTGGACCAAAGAGAACTAAAGTCATTGGTTATAGGTCAACTTTATATTATTAAAACGATATTGATCAAAGATACCAGATATGGTAAATGTTTACTTATTCATTTAATTGATCGGCACTCACAGGAGCTTTTCCAGTGTTGGTTACCGAGACGCATTTTTGAAATAATGCCACCCGAAGTCAT